ATCAGACACTAATAACAAAATTTAGCAGGACCTTCCACCTGGAAACTAAAAATATCTCTAACAAATAAGACTTGGGTTAGAGCAGAAATGGCCATCTTAATTGCAAGATTTTAAAAAAAACTATAACGAATCAGTATATATCACCATAATTTACAATGAAAATGGTGACCAGAGGAAAATTTAATAACATTATATACTTAATAAATAACTAAATAATTGAGAATAAAAGGAATTAGATTACCAATTCAAAAAGCTACTGATAAAAAGAATGCAGAAGAAAATAATAAAAATTAAAGCAGAAATGAACAGAAAAACAAATATCAAAACACAAATCCTTTAAAGAAAGCACAGGCATAAACAAGCCAGTATCTAATCTAATCAAGGGAAAACCTGAGAAAAAGCACAAATATGCAAAATAAAAAATTGTCAAGGGGAAAAAAGCAATGAAAATATAGACTAATACACAGATTTCTGGCTTCTTCTTGGGATGTAGAAAGTTGGAAAGAGCATGGCTTCCACTGTTACAATAAGAAAAGCCACATAATTTGCACATTCACAATTTTTCTTGAACTCATCAGAGCCCTGAGGTTGCAGGGCAACCATCTGCCTGCAATCTAGGTAACAGCAAATGCCTTCCAGGAGAGATGGGAGAAGCGCCCTTGCTTATCCATGTTGATTGGTAAAGGCTGAGGGTAGGCTAGCGGGAGAATATAGAACACCTTGGGGCTGCAAATATCAGTGGTATCAGCACCATTTGCAGGCTCTCTCCATGGACTTCACGGTGCCCTCATAAGAAAGATTGGCAAGTCTTGAGAAAGCATCCCTCATGGTATTAGGTTTGGGGGAGGAAAACAGTGGCTGCTGCAGAAAAGGCATAAAACCTGTGGGGTTCCTTCTCCCCATGAGACAAAAGCCCTAAACTTTTGTGGAAAAAGCAACAACACTGTCTCCCTTGGCTACTTTCATAAAAACCTGTTCCACCTGGGAAAGGGAGCAGAAAAGAAGAACTCAACCTCTGGAGCCAGGTCAGGAATACCATTGATCCTTGAAAAACGCTGGGGGGTTAGGGGCATTGACCCCGTGCAGTGGGAACTCCAGGTGTAACTTGTGACTTTCCAAAAATTTTACAATCTGCCTTTGTATCCGTCGGTTTCCTATCCCTCGGTTTCGCATCGGCAGATTCAACCAACCACAGATCGAAAACAGTATTTTTACATTCCCAACGGTGTTTTCCCAAACACGATTTGAAAATACTGTTTTTAATCCATGGTTAATTGAATCTGTGGGTGTGAAACCCGGGGTAGGAAGGGCTGACTGTATTTAAAAAAATATCTGATTATAAGTGGACTCACGCAGTTGAAACCTGTGTTGTTCAAGGATCAACTGTACTTGCTGGGGACCAGAACTACAGCTAGGGGAGGGACAGGCACTGACATCCAGGGACATATGTCCGGCTTAACACTGAGACTTAGGACAGAGAACACCTCTTTCCCTCCCCATCCCCACCAGGCTGGCAAGTATGAAATGAAAAGATAACAGCGGAATGCCGCCTAGAGTGTCTTAGTTAGCTGGGGCTGCTCTAACAAAGTCCCACTGACTGAGTGCTCATAAACATAGGACATTTTAGTTCTCACAGTTTTGGAGGCTGGAAGTCCAAGGTGATGGTTGGGTTGTGTGTGGTGAGATCCTTCTTCAGGCTGCAGACTGGTGACTTCTAGTTGTCTCCTCACGTGGTGGAAAGCTCTCCAGCCTCTTCTTATAAAGGCACTAATCCCATTCAAGAGGGCTCCACCCTCAGGGCCTCATCACCTTCTCAATGGCCCTCAATCACATTTGGGATTATATTTTAACATACAAATTTTGGGAGGATGCAAACATTCAGCTCATAATCAACTGTTACAAGGGCATGGAGAGACTCCATTTGAGGTATAGCACAAAAGTTAAAACTAAAGCTGAAGCCAGAACAGACACTGAGAGAAACCCTGAGGCAAACGGTCCCTCATCCTGTACATAAGGCAGCATTGGAGCCTGGCACAAGCTTTTCCTCATTTGCAAAATGGGGATAATATTAGTGCCACATCATAGAATTACGTAAAGATTGAACAAGAGGATCCATGCTAAGTAGCAAGTTGCCAGGCACCTAAGGCCCAGTAGATATTTTAAATACCATCTACTATCATTGTTACAGCCCAACTACCCGCTTGAGGTTTCTCTTGTTCCTCAATATTGTTGCCCGCCCCATGGGTGTCAGCCCACATCTGAACTACTCTATTAGCAGTGGACTTGTCCGCCATGCCCAACTTTGCGTGGAAAGCTCTCCTTTGTACTGAGCTGTTGTGTTCCTTCTCACAGGTTCCAATGACCACTCCTAGTTATACCCCTTAGATTGTGCTACAGCACAGCTCTCATTGCCCTCCCTCTTAACACTCACTTAAGTGAGTCCCTAGTTCTGTCATGGGTTAACCATCTCCAGTCCATATATGGCCCATGTTCCTCTCACTTCATGCTTCATATTTTTTGCCACTCTGGCGGCTGCTTTTGTATACGCCCTGGTTTTGCATCCCAAGTCTCAAGGCCATTTATGTAGGTGCAGTCTCACAAGGGTAGAGCGGTACGACTCACCTTCCATGTCTTAGAGACTGTACTTTGGTTACGCAGAGTACGCCTGAGGTAGTGCCTGTGTTTTGGGTGGCTGCATTGCTCTGCTTCCTTTCATGAAGCTTGCTGTGGATTTCAGTTAGAGGCTCTTTCCTGTGTGTTTGCTATACTGTGCAACACAAGGTCCTACCTTGACCTTGTATAATTTTTTTTACACTGACTTGTAAAATTGTACATGCATTTTACATTGCTCCTTTGCCCCATTTCTCTGCCTAATGAGATTTTTTTTGAATCCTGACTTCTGTTGTTTAGTATAGTTTTTCTCTCCCAGCTTTATGATATACACATTTTTTAACAAACTTGTCTTTTGTAACTTCCGTCAAGTTATTAAACATATTTGAACAGATGGGGCCAAAAGGCAAGCTCTGCAGCAGGACATTAGAAATGCTCTTCCAGGTTGAAATGTATCTAATTGGCGCCATTCACGTGATTATACACCCACCAACTATACTAACACCCAGATCATATTTCTCCATTTGCCCAGACATTTCATGAAAGACCATGGTAAGTTCTTGTTACAGCTCAGATATTCTGTCTGCTGCATTTTTATAATCTACCCAATCTTACAAAATAGGAAATGAATGTAGTCTGAAATGATTTGTTCTTGGGACCCCAGGCTGGCTCCCAGTAATTGCTGCTTCCCTTATTCTGCACTGTAAAACTATGCACAGAATGAATATCAAGCTCACTGGTCTATAGCATCCAGAACTCACTCTTCTCTAATATGCCTGTCTCTAATTTTCCTACTGCTTACCATATTTCAATAAAAATTGAGTGATTCAGCAGGCTCACTGGTAAAACGCAGAGTACTGCTGAACAGAATTAATCTACAGATGAGACATTATTTAGAGTAGCTAGTTTTTTCATTGTAATATCTTAATTTGCTCTGGGTTTTAGTTTCCTCTCATGAATGTTCATCTTTTAAAAATGATCTCTATTGTTCCTTTGTTTCTCTTGTTTTGTTTTTTTTTAAAGATTTTTATTGGGGAATTGGGGAATGGGAACAGCTCTGGGGAATTGGGGAAAGGGAACAGACAAGTTGCTGTCGTTTTGGTCTTCAGTCTAGTTGTGGAGGATGTTGCTTCACTGGCCCAAGTTGGCACCATCATTGCGCTCTTCCCGGGTGAGGCAGATCAGTCGCCGGCTTCTGGACGGCCGCTCACTGTGGGTGCTGCTCACGCTGGCTGCTGGCTACACACGGTAGCCCATGGCAACCCACTGCCACAGGGGCTGCAGCCTACGCGGTCGCCGGCGACTCACAGCAGCCCAGTTCCAGGTTGAGCTGTTGTTCAGCATCTTAGCTGTGGAGGGCAGTGTCACTGGCCCTCATATGTGGGATCCGAACCGGGGCCCTCTGGCATCCCAAGCCAGCTCTTAACCTACGCACCACTCGGCCGGCCCTGTTTCTCTTGTTATTAATTGCACAACAAACGGAATGGTGACAAGATACACAAAATGCCTGGCTCTGGAGGACAGACAACCGGGCAACGAGGATTCATGTTTTTTTTTTTTTAATCTTTTTTAAAAAATTGAGATATAATTGACATATAACATTATATTAGTTTTAGGTATATGATTCAATATTTGTATAAAGAGGATTCAAGTTTGAGATTCACATTCCAAATAGGGAATTTTAGTGGAAGCCAAGGGGTGTTGAGCGACCCATCTCCCTTCTTGTCCCTTCACCCCAAGTCGTTTATTTCTTTGAGATTTACACATCATAGTGATTTTGCTCTCTTCCAGGCAGGAGTTCCATTTATGTTTAGGAGGATGTGACCAGCGACCTCGCTTCAAAAGCCCAAACCTCAAACATAAGACATCTTCTCTGATATTCAGAAGTTAAGTGACTGGGGTAGAATTTTATTTTTTCATTTTCCAAGTTCACAGATGTTACTTTTACCATGAAGTCTGGTTATGAGAACACAAATGTAGATACAAGGCACCTTAAAGCAGTGATCACTGTTTGAATTTTAGGGCAATAATGAACTCCTCTGGTCCTTTGATTGGTGGGAAGTATTCAGAGTAAATGGGAATGCAAATGGATTCTTGAAGTTACTTTAAAAAGTTTTGTTCCTTCTCTGCACAAAGACACCTGATGAAGACAGTAGGCATCGTAGGTCTCACCAACAACTTTATGAAAACACAAATTTTCACAGAAGTCAATGGAGGCGAGTCAGAGTTAACAATTTGGCTTTCTCACCATCTTACTCAATTACCCTGGCCAAATCTCTCACCGTGGGCTTGTGGTTGTCTTTCCATGGAAGAGAGGATGTGTTGTGTTGTTTGTTTTGACTTTTTAAAGGTATTGGGTGCTTAAATAAGCAAATAAAAACATTCCCCTGAATGATTGAAATTTGTTGGATTTATTTCTTTCTAAAGTTTGTACATTTACATATATCATATACATACTTTAAATCCTTCACTATTTCGTGTGATTTCTATTACATAAAAACCATTTAAATGCAATAAATTTTGTTGTTGTAAAACAACAAATTATCCCCAACTTATAAAAACACAGGAACAGTTATATTCATGAACATTTACACAATAGAGAAATGTACTATATATATATCACAGCTTCTATACATACTACACGGTTTAGGTTTACTTTAACAACAGTGAAATAGGGTAATAGTTATGTACAACTATTTTAATAAAAAATAAAGCAATTGTAAAATGTAAACTTAATTTTCAAAATATTCTTTAAACACTTTAACAATATCCACATAAATTACTGTTCCACTCAAAAGATGACCACCACCAATGCCCTAATTTTCTAGGAGATGGCATTTCTTAAATCTGGTGGGTGGTAACGAGGAACAGGCTTCCAGTACATGATTCGGCACCACTGGCTCACCCGAGTCTGCTAATGCCAACAGTTTGGCCACTGTAAAGGAGTAGGCTGCTATTTTGTCACTAATTACTTTCACAATTTGCAGGGACATATGGCACCAGGACTGCAATGAAACTGAAATGATTGGTGGAGAAAACTTTGAAGTTAAAGGGTTGTTCCACACTGCCAGTTTCACACTGCTTGAGCCACAGTAAATAGAACCCAGTTAACAGGCTGGACAAGTTACAAGCCTGTTGTATATTAAAGGACACAAACTACCACTCTCTGCCCGTCTGCCCTACAGTGATCAAGGCCGGCAGTATCGGTTCTCCACTTGTGCAAATTTCTGTTCTAGAAATGGGCCCCTGAAACTTGAGGTAGAAGAGAATGCAGGGAGGCCTTTAGGCCTTTACCCAACAGCTCTCATCTGGGCTGAGCAGAATGGCTAAGCAGTAAGCCTAGTGTTCCTTGACCCTTCCCACGGAAATGAAACGTTTTCCATTTCCGGAAATCTGGGTGCAAAGGCAACGATATCATCCTTCCCTGGTTATAGCTCAGTGTGCCAACTTGAGTCTTTCAAGAACCAAAGACATGGTCTTGGCTTGAGTCAGAGAATTTTTAAAATACCATTGTCGTGTGGCACCCCCAGTGACTCAGTCACTCTCAGAGTTGATACCTTGCCTGGGTGGGGTCAGCCCAGTAGGACAGCTGATTCCTGAAGCCCAGAGAAGCAGCGTGTGAAACCCCGTATGTGCTTGCTGCTCAGCAGGAGCCCACATGGAGTGTGAGGCCAGGGGAAGCTCCTCTTTGCAGAGATAATGCATTGCCATCCTCTGGGGGCCCCACAGGGACTCAGGGGTTACAGCAAGGAGCCTCAGACCTGCCACGCTGCCCTTAACCGAGCTTTGTGGCTGGGACTTTGTGTCTGAAGACTTACCCAGGCAGGCTCACAGGGAACTAATAAGTGAGACTCCAAAATTCTCTGCATTCACCAAACATTTTCAGGAATTGAAGTTTAGGTGCTTATTTTATAACACTATTTGTGAGAATTTAGCTCTCTACCCTGCACAGGGAATCATATCTTAGCTAGGTTCCTTCCCATTTCCATCCTCATCATTGCTGACGATGGGAAAGGACTTAACTGTGGAGCAGACTTCAACCTGAGCTCTGTCTCTCCCAGGCAGTGCAGAGGCGGGTGTGGCCAGGCACAGCAGGACTCCTCCGGGAAGGGCTTTGCTGCTTCCTCGTTTGTACTTCTTTCTCAAAGGTGGATCTCCAGAGCAAGCATCAATGCTACCCTGGACCGTGGTGCACACCAGCCTTCTGGAACTTTCCCAGGCTACTGCGGGATGCTGGACAGTGGCTGCTTGTGAGTCACAAGTGAGCCGTCAACTCGGGGGTCTAGCAGAAAGGATGTGATATGCGTTCCCTCGCTTCTTTGTTAAAATGCAGTGCATCTCAGAGTCAGACACTAGAGCTCAAACTCCTCCCTGGCCCTTGAAAAACATTCCTGTGAGGCAATGTCCACCTCTTTTGTCCATCACCTCCTTACAACACTCTGGCCCTTTGTGTCTTAAGTTTGCATAACTTAAAACATTCACTATGTGGACACAGTGCAAGCATATGTACACATGTGAGAGGCCAAGACGTGTGAACCCTTCCCCTTACACACCTACCGGGACAGTAAACTGGTTTTGAATCACTCGGGAGTGGAGGAATGACCATGTGAATGCGTACCCCAAAGGGGAGGCAACCATCTCATACACCCCCCCTAACCCCAACTTTCATTTGGTCTGATTACTCTTGTTCCTATAGCTTAAAAAAGTACCCTAATGGCGTTAAAAATCAATGTGCATATATACTCTCTGCAGAGTGGGTATTATTATCCTTGCCAAATGGTTACTTGGCTGTATAACAACTACATGGCTTTATATTAAAAGTCCAAAAGATTTCAAATTATTAAGGCCCAAACTGAAACTGTTTATTTTTGCTACTCCTTTTCATATGATTCTGAATCAAATGGATGTTTTGGCAGAGCACTATAATTCTTAGAAGGAAACACACTCTTGCAGAACAAAGACCCTGCTGATCAGTCACAGAGCCAGTTCACTGCACGTCAAGAACAAATTAGGAAATATGGCGTATTTGCAAAAATAGTTTGAGACTGTAGAGTTAATAATAATAATAAAAAAAAGCTCAAGCGTAACTACCAACACACTACTGCAGCCTGGAGTCGAAGATTAATCTCCCACTCCACAACTTGAATTGTCTGAATCAGACTCAGATACAAGAACACGAGGCAGTGCATTTACACAGATCCACTGCACTCAACCACTCACTCAAACACACTCAGATGCTGCTTTAAATACACCAAACATGCTGATTAATAAAGCTTTAATCTCTAGTTATCTATGTACACGCTGTCGGATAAGCAGTAAGCTCAAACAACTAAGGCCAGTGGCTCTTCTTTGGGGAGAGGCAGGAAAAGAGGCCTAAGTATAAAAATATTAAAGTTTTAACCTGGTCCATAGCCTGTCCTAAAATTCTTTTACTTGTGACACTAGATGCTAATTTGTGCAACTGCGAACCTAGACGACAGTACCCGATCTTGGGAGGCCCTGATATGCTTTAGTGTCTGTAACATTTCTTTAAAGTAAAGAAGTAAGAATGTGGTACCAGGAGAGTGGTTTGATCTACTGTAAAATAGACACAGGTACATAAATGATATGCTAGGTACTTAATCAGTTCTTCTGAAAACTCTATTTTTCTGGACTAATTACAACAATAAAGAACGTGTGCTTTAAAGCATCACATTTTGTAAAAAGCCCCAAAACTGTCAATTTGACTTTTAGTTAAGTGCTCTTAATACTGAAGTTGCTAAGACTGCACAGGCTGACTGTTTTTTTTTTTTTTCTTCCTTTCTGTATATCCCAAACTATAATGAACTACTCCCTTGCTATTGTACACAGTACACTGAAATAGTTTCACAAAGTTAGTTCAGAGTCATTTTTGCCCTGGTGATTCAAAGTTCAAAGATGGAATTTTCTAGCATAAAATCTTATTATTATTACAAAAATTTAATCAAAATATCATTTGAATTTAAGTTTAATAAAACAGTACCACTATATATACTCTCAATAACTGCATTATATACTCAAGCCTATGAGGTTCTTACTTGCTTTTCATATCACACTGGTTATTAAGGACAAAAATAAATTTGATGTACATATACCATATACTGATATACAATCTACACATAGATACATATACATACATACAACTATAAATACCCACAAATACAACATTGGCAGGTGAAAGAAAGCATTTTCTTTGATGTCTGACATACTACCTATGACTATTTTCCAAAAGCCTGCAACACTACAGACACACACATAAACTACACAGGATGAGCCAGAGAGACTGAAGGAAACCTACTGTATGTACAACTACTTAACTTGCAATATTTTCTTGCTGTTGCATTCAAGTCAACAAACTGTCATGCAGATTCAAGTATTTACTGGCATTCTCTCTATGAAGACATTCTCTCTGCATGCAATGGGCCAGTTATTGTTCTAAGGAGAAGGCTGCCCACTTGGGTTTTGGATACTCTAGGTACAAAGAGAATGGCGATGACTTTGGACTTCAGTCCTCCATGTAAGCATGAGACATTGAAAAAGGAATCCGAGAGGAGAAGCAGTGACAAAGCACCCGTCTGTCACTTGTTGGGAGTACTCTGTGGAGAACTACTGATCTCTAAAGCCCTCTGGATGACTTGATGATGGAAGATGTCAAAAGGCTGATGGAGAGATCTGTTGACCTGGGGCAGACTGGTGACCCGGCCTGGGAGAAGAGACAGCCAGAACGCTGTGCTGCAAGGTCAGCCCAGAGGAGGCACATCTGCCTACGAAGGTGACTGATCTTTTTCTGTCAGGGTGACATAGATGCTCTGGGAGAAAAGCATTTAAATCCAGGCACATTATTACTCATTACCTAGACTCTAATTTTTAACAAGTCCTAGGATGCCACTTTGGTTGCTTGTTTATCAGTGCTAATTTTACAACTGGAAAAACTGCTGTCATTTGATAAGTGAAGAGATGATTCACTGTTGAAGTTAAAGGAAGGTGGCTACCAACCTGCTGAAAACTTGACCAGGTCCACAAGAACTGAACAACAGAGAGTTGGACCTACAAGGGTAAGAAACTCCCTGTGAATTCAGGCTTAAAAAAGCTTAATTAATGGCTACAAAGAAAAAAGCCAAAGGAATTCAAATTCCAACGACAGCTAACTAAACCCAAGAAAGTCTTGATAGTAAGACAGTGGAGAAGCTTCTTTAAGGTCAGATTTCTTCCAGTCATCTGCGATTAGGGACAAAAGCAGAGACGAGGTGTGGCTCCTAGCCACTGCAGGCCGGGCCTCAGCAAAGAACATCTTCCCAGGCTTGTTACAAGACAGAGCAGCAGGCAAGGGCCGGCAGAAGACTGTGATTTTGTGCTTCCGCAGCAAGGGACCTCCTTCCCCGCCGGCTATCTAAATTCTTCTCCAGCCTCTGAAGTTCTGTGGTTTGGTCACAGGGTGCAATACAAACTCAAGAGACCAACCCTAGCTTGGCTTGGGAAAGCCAGCCGACTTTCCTCACCTAGAATTAATTTAATTGCCTCATGTCACTTCTAACTAGGAAACAGTCCTCATCTTCTGAATTAGGATAACAGTCGAAGAAGCACAGAGGGTCTTGCACAGCTGCTTTCTATCCTGTTTACCTAAGAGCAGTTTACATAATCCAGGAGCTACCATTCTACCAGAGGACCCTTCCACGCGTTGGTTTTGCTGAGATTAGTTAAAATGCACAGAAGTATTGCTTGCTTTAATTAGGCATTGATGAAAGTTAATGATATGAATTTTTTTTTTAAAGTGCACTTCAAAAAATATCTAAGGACTCTGCATGCTAGTGATTTAGTTTTGATTGCTCCCAAGGAATTCCTGACACTTCCCTATAAAAGTCAACCTGTGAAGTGGGAAACAAACCCCGAAACACTCAAAGGTTTTATACAGGAACTGCTTCTATGGTCAGCTGTGCAACGAGACTATCACCAAGGTATTTTGGCGATTATCAAGATTTCCTAGACTGAAAATTCAATATAAAGTGTATTTGTGTGAAGAGGAATACTGATTTATCACATGGAGAGGATGCCAAGGCTCCCGATGCTGAGGTATGGGTGAGGAAAGGGGTCGGGTGGGGGCAGGTAGAGTACCTTCAGAAGGAATGTGGGGAGAGCTCCCCTGTACCGTGAGCTGGGCAGTAGGCTGGGCTAGCTGTGAAAGGAAACTTCTTCCATTTCTTCTGACTAGATACCATAGGACAAAAATGATTACAAAAGAAAATGTGATTGGCTATGGGCAAGAGTCTCAGAATCTAGTCACATCAGGGGCCATTTCCTCCTACAGTAGAAACTCTTGGCCTGCTAGGCCAACTGACAACATATAGTAACCTCAGAGGCCCCAGGGAGGACGTGTTCACAGTTCATCCCCTACAGGTGGACATCACGCCAGGGCAATCTGCCATGCGGGCTCACCAAATAACCTTGCAGTTGTCTTCAAACTATGCAAACACAGTATACCACAGCATCAAAAGTGCCCTTCTCATCCAATTATTTATAAGCATATCTAGACATTCCTGGAGATAACATGAGTGACTCATGTAATGGGAACAGTGGTGTTGTGGTGCAGGTGCTAGCTGCGTTATTTCAGAACTACTCTAAAATGTCAGAAACGCAGTGGCAAGGTACCATTCTATGTCTATTGTACATTATAAGTAAGCCACATAGACATCCTATCTACACAGATGCACTCACACTGCGGGCAAACACATTCAAGCCAGGCAGGGATGTTTATTTTTCTTTAGTTATTGAAGCTCAGAGACGACATGGTCTAGGTACCTCTCTCCCCTCGGCTGAGGAGAAACATCTAGGCAGAAGACAAACAGGCTGAGTATTCAGATTCTAGGAAGAAAGACAATTCCTTGTGGAAATCTCGGATTGAGTCAGAAGCTACAAAAATGAATCAGGTCCAAGAGCCATATTGGTAGCTACCATGTTTGTGTCTCGGTTTTGAAACATAAATTTAGTCATTGCCTTTACCTAAACAAGATAGAGGGTTAGAGTGAATTTTTCAAGGTGTGGCACAACACTTATATAAAGCAAGCAGTTACAACTTTAGAGAGGGGGTTTCTCTTTTCTGGACACCAGCAAGTATGGCCACTTATATCAGTGAAGGAAGTACATATGAATAAGTAATCATGTAATTAAATGCTGGCTTGTCAGAACAACATACCAGTAAGACTACCATGGTTTAACAGCAGGTTTTCTCTAATTCACTGCAACCACGCTATTCATGCAGAGACCCTGATTCTTTGGTCATCGTACCTTTAACTAATAAACTGAGTAGAACTAGGGCAAATTTCTGTGGGAGGGAAGAGTATTCAAAGTGATTCTGTTAGATCTGAAGCTGTGGAGATTATAGCTTTAATGATCACAAAGTTTCAAGGTTTCAAAATCAGCAAGTTCTAACTCACAGTGGACTCCATTTTTACTCCTTTCTCTTCCTGTACAGCAGAACGCTCTGTTTGTCACCCTGAATTTCAAAGGGACCATCACTGGAGCAAGCTCATTACCATAAGGTTACCAGGACTATTTTGATAGAAAGAAGTGATTTAAAATAAAGTATTTCTTTTTAGGGGCAAGTTCAGTAGTAGCAGAGTGAAGTGACTCTCAAAGAGACTGAGATAAGAATGAGCCAAGTAACTCTGTATATGCAACCAGCTAGCTTTCCAACCATACTTCATTCAGACAATTTATTACTTTCAGACTGATTTTAAGGAATCGATATTCCATTGCTGGACAACTACTTTTTCCTCTCTTATTTTGTTTTGGTTAAGACCCCAATATTCTCCCAACCAGGCGATAACACCAATTCCTGGATGGCAGAGTATTGACGATAGAGATGGTGCTGGATTCCTACTAGACCCCGTGGGAGCGAGGTAACAATTCCCTGTAGACTGAACACATGCTACTGCTGCAGCTCCCCAAGAGTCGCTCACTGTCATGATCCTTTAGGGAAGAAAATGAACTTGGTGTCATCTTTCCTCAACCTTCAATGGCAAAGAGATTCCACTTCCTCTTTCCTTGCTTGGCTGAAATGGATTCAACGCTTCAAGCAGGCAACGTACTTCCTAAGTTCTCCAGTCCTGCAACCTTCGCACCCCCGTTCCCTGCTTCCAGCAGGGTCGGAACGCAACAGTGACTGCTCAGATGCACCCACAGCTGTGTCACCGTGGACCACCTTGATTCCCAGAACGGTGATTCTGACCTGAACTTCTGTGAGCGTTCAAGTCCACCTCTGTGACTGGGCAAGATTTCACATGTAAAAGGCTAATATTAACTCTGGCTAGAATTTGCTAAACTACAAAGTTTGTCCAGTTAAGTGTTTCACAATGGATTAAACTTTTTAACCTTAAAAAAAAAAAAGTGTAATGGTTGAGAATACAAAAAACTGCGCAGAGTGCAAACAAGAGAAAACCAAAGGAGAAGTGATACATAATTCATTCTGAAATCATGATCCCCTCCCTCTCACAAAAGGTGCATTAGTTATTAAGAAGCAAAAATCATCAAAGCAGAAAAATCAAGTGCAAAGAGACCATCTGTACAGAAACTAACAAAAATATACAATAGAAAAGTTACTAATGCACCATTTAGTCACAGACTTTTTTTTTTTTAAATATATTCACGGGTTTACCAGAAAGATCTTGAAAAACTGTAGTTTGCTCCATGACCAGCACGTTCCTGGCCTCCGATGGATTCTAAGTAACTTTTTGCTTAATGCTTGGTGTTTCAGGTCGGTGGTCTTTCCTCTCTGACACATTCCGCTTGACTTTGGCAGTGACGGGAGAGGAATCTGGGTTCAGTGAAGGACTCGAATGTGACTTCTTCAGTCCTGCGGCCTCACTTTCACTGTTGCACAGGAGATCCTTGCCTCCTTCTTTTAGGATGCTGACGTAAGTTTCATAACGCGTTTTCTGGAGAGAAAGTCAGACAAGAATGGTTGTCAGTACACTCTTCACAAATGCCTGTGGGCAGCACGTCCGGTGTTGAAGATTTGACTGCATGCCCCAAAGTGGGCAACAGGTACAGAACAATGGATTCGTTACTTAGATAAGAAATGAAGATAGAATTTTAGTTCCCGTTTGTTCTGCAATTTGAAGGAATGTCAACTTGGAATTAATTATTGGCCATTTGATGGAGGGATCCCGCTTCCTGAACACTTGGGCACAAGAAGGGTGTAAGCTGGTTTTGGCGACCGGAAGGCTCTTACGGCTCAGTGCTATCTGTAGTCACCTGAACTTCCCTCACGTGACCGACGCCTCACATCAACCTTGCTTGGTTATGGTTGTTGACTCTCTTTCCTACTCCCTGTAACTAAAAAAGACAGCTTGAGGAATCAGTCTGTGGTGACTCTATTCTCTACTCCCCTATAAGACCACAACATTTTCTAGAAGCTGCTCTGGGTTCCCTGGCAAACTTCAAATTATTTTCTGATGCTTTTCTCATTCAACAATTTTTTTTTCAACAATTATTTGTTGAGTGTTCACTACATTTTAAACAGCTTCTGATTTTCCTGTTTCTGGGTATCTTCTTGTAAGAATAACTGAGAAGAACACTGCAGAGATTTTTTTTCTAATCCTATTTGGTGTTTTTTTTTGTTTTTTAAGTTTCTAAGTTACTATACAGCACTATTATGTATACTGCAAACTATAGAAGGGTCTCAGATTCTTGATTTGATAGATTCTAGTCAAAATAAATCTTTCACCATACTGTTTCAACACATGAAGGATCTATAGAAGGCCTAATGTGTTTTATTTCTAAACGAAAGAACATGTCAGTTATAAATTGTCCCAACAAAGGCAGGCAAATTCTGTTATGACTATAAATCTTTTAGGAACTTTTCTAGTCAGATTGAGATTTTGTGTATCTCAGTTTTAAGTTAGTTAGTATGAAATTGAAGCTATTGAAAGCTACTCTTTCAAGTTGTTTTAAAAGTTCAAAAGTGGGAAAAAGCAGCTAGTTATTAAGCTTGTTCGGGGTTTGGTCAGTATCTATGTGGGGGTGCCAAGTTTTGGTTGATGATGACATTTATGGAGTTCCCACATGCTAAATTGAGGCCATTAATACACTAATCATACACAATTGGTGCACCATTATACCTGTTTTATAATAAAGGAAATAGAGGCAGAGAGAAGTCCAAAGTCAGAGTTAGCAAAGAAGTGAAGCTGGGATTGGAACTCAGGAAATCTGACCTCAGAACCCAGTGCTCTTGAGCTATAGTTCCTCCCTGGAGATGAAAACACACGTATATACATGAATGTATATTTTAGGATGACTACCCTGACAGATACTTGGTTTGGCCAAACCAAAGCCAATCTCAGCCCCCTGTTTTCCTATGTCTCTCCCACTACAAAGGCTGATTAAACCCAAATACTTACTTTCCCGGCCCTCCTTGTGACTAAGATGGGCCATGTAATATTCCGGCCCATGAGATGTAAGAATCTTCTGGGGGCTTCTGGGAAAGTGATTCTGCTTTCTGATAAAAGGGACAGATTTTAGAGAAGCCACTGGTGCTAGCCCTTCACTCTTACTCCTTCCTTGACATGGGTGTGGTTCCTAAAGCCGTACCCTGTGACACGGGGCAGTAGGCAGGAGCACAAAAGAAGATGCTAGGCCTGAGGAAAATGGAAAGACAGAAAAAGCCTGGGGTCCTGAGGACACAATGAGCTGGAGGCAACGCTAAGATTCCCTACTACCTCTGAATAGCTTGGTAAGTATGAATAATAAATATCCTTAGGGGTTATTAAGCCACTATTCATCAGGTACTGTTAATTGTAGCTGAAATCATTACTAACTGATACATAGTATAATTTTAATAAAGAACTAACAAAGTAAAAGAATAAAATACTAAGCTTATCTCAGAAAGCTATGTAGGGTTTAATGAGGGCATTTGCTAATGTAAAAAATGTCACTGGAATTATGGATCAGTCAATGTATGTGTCAGTGAACCAGGGGACTGAACCAGACAATATTCAAAGGGCATACCAGTTCTCAAGTCCTATTCCTTCTAGGAATTTATTACTTAATCTGTTTCTAAATTGCTTTGGTGGCAAGATTAAATTGCAGGAAAGAACTACTCCCAATACGAACAAGGTTTAGTAAAATGATGTAAAGGCAGTTTAAAAATAGATTCAGAAAACCAGTGAAGGCATACTATTTCACAAAGCTGGGACATTTATATGATGAAAGGGGTATGCAGGACAATTTTTAGAGAGGACTTGAAAGGGGACAAAATGAGAGAAGGTGATAGGGCCAGTTTTCTACTACTCTTTGAAGAAACTGCATCTACTGGGAAAATTCACCTGGAAAAAATACATGAAGGAAGGCCATTTCATCCATTCCTTTTGCAGCTCCAGCTGAAACGCTGTTGTCACAAACAAATCATATCAGTACGTCAATCAACAAACGAAAGGCACAGCACAGAGGTGGGGCAGTACTAGAGTCATTAGATGAGAAGGAAAGACAAAACAAAACAAAAGGTGAAAGGGAGCCAGGAAACCAGGAGTGCTCAGCCATTGTAAAGAGAAATAAGGAAAAGGAAAGCAAGTGGGTTCACAAACTTCCAAATGGCTGTGCTCTATTTCTGAGTTACAAAGGCTCACAGGGTCAGAGGTTATGAAACCCTGTGCCTTTTACCATTCTCTGTAACCAAACCAGATGCCTCTTCAAAAATATTGTAGGAAAACATCTTTAATCTCAGAACTATTCAGTGGGTATGGTTTCAGCCATGTCCTTCCGGGGTTACAGACTCATCCAAATATGTAAATCTCTATCCAGAGGTTTGGGGGCCAAAACAAGATTGCTTCTGAGAAAAGAAACAGCTCTGCATGGAGCCAAGAGCAATGGGAATGAACATAACTTTGCAAGTCTCTTCTTCATTGATACTTCCTTGCGTTCTCCTTTTTTGGGTGTTGGAAAATCATATTTCTTCCTAACTATGCAAACATGTGGTATCCTTGGGAGGGTTTATTTCCTTTCTTCCTTTCAGAGAAGACATGATTCTTATCTTTTTTTCCTAAGAGCAATTGTGAAATTTAAGTTTTAAGTTAAAGCTGGCGTGTAAGGAAAAGTGAAGAAGCAGCAGGAAGTGTATTTGTAAATCATTTTAAAATACCTGATGTACCAGTTCAGACTGAAAACTTGGTGGTCCTGTTCAAATGGTCAATCGTGGCCAAAGAAGCTGGTATATGATGTGGGGGCACTTATTGCTGCTTCCTTAGCAGCCTTCTTTCAAGCTAACGGAACTGTGATTTTTATTGAGGATGTCAACGTGCGTAGCCCAGGAGAGGAATCATGGTTTAAACCAGACTTGATGACCCTTGCCCCCTTTTGCCAGTCAACCCTGTAGCCATGTGGCCTAGATTTGGCTAATGACATGTAAGTGAGTATAAGTCTACTAGGGTACTTTTGTGAAAGCAGCTTTTGCGATCCTGATAAAAAGTGGCAGAAAAAAATGTCTGGCGCACTGGTAGCCATTTTGAGACCATGAAATGGTTACACATGAAAACAAAAAAAAAAGCAGATGTGCTAAAAAGAGCAAATTAGAAATTTAGAAAGATGATACAGCCTTGATGGCAACACTTAGCAGCCAGTAACTGAGTACTTCCAGTTTTCTTATGCGAGGTAAGGAATGATTATACTGTTTAAACACTTGACAAGTTTTCTGTTATCTGTAGCAAAAGCATTCTTAACTACTAAAATGGTCAACACTCAGCTTGGTCTTACTCATAAAAAAATTACCCCAATTGAATTGTAAGACAGGTACCTCCTGTCTTCATTTTATTTAGGAAAATATATGCTTGATTAATAGGCTTTGGTATGATATAGCTTTACTGGGTTTTCTCTGAATATTCACCAAATTATTGATGGACATTATTGTACTATAGGCCATACAGTGATCACATAATGAATATTAAATCAATGGCTATCTTATTATTTCCATTAATAATTTTATATCAATTGTTTAATCTCTATGGATGCAGTTCTCTCAGTCCTTCCCTATAAGCCTACAACATGTAGGATGCCTAAGAGATTCTGAGAGTTAACCAAAAAATTGAGAGTTCTATACCAGTTACTGGATCTGGCTAATGATCAGTCTTCTACTATTTAGGGAGCAGGCTAGAGATACTTCTAAAATCCTGCAGAAGGAAATTTGACCATCTAAACTTTGCTCCTTGATTCTTCTCTTTCTCCAATATCCTGCATGCATTCTGTCAGCAACTCCTGTCCCTATATCTTCAGGGTACATTCAGAATCACACCATTTCTCACCACCTGCACCCGCTCCAGTCTGGATCAAGCACAGTTGTCTTGTGCCTGGATTACTGCAATGGCTGCCTAACTGGTCTGCCTGATTCTCTCGTTGCCTCCCACGTGCACTTTTCTCCAAAGTAAGTGGTCAATTAAAATGTAAATTAGAGCATGTCACCTCTGAGCAAAAGGCTCCAATGGCTTCTCATCTGTAAAAATCGTTCCCAACCCCCAATCCTTAAAATGGCTCGGAAAACCCTTTCCTCCCCACCCCCCTCCCTGGTCTAATCTATCAGTGTTCACTGTGCACCAGCCTCTCTGCTTCCCGGCTCTCCCTGAACACAAGGGGTGCACTCCTGTTTCAGGACCTCTGGTGCCTGCTGTTCTCTCCGCCCCAAAAGCACCTCCCCCAGGAATCCACAGGGCTTGTTCCTTCCCCTCCTTCACCTCTTTCAGCTCACTTTACGCTGAGGCCTTCTGTGGCCATCCACATCGAACACTGCGAACACTTACTGCCATTCACTGCTTTGTCTCCTTAGCACTTCTCACCATCAGCCTTATATTTTACTTATTAAAAAAAACACTTGTGTATCTTTCCCCTGCCAATACTAGAATGCAATCGCACGAGGGTAGGGACTTTGCTTTCGCTTACTCATATATCGCCA